GTGGGGACTCGCTCCCGTTATAAATGTGGGGACTCCCATAGTACCTGTGGGGACTCGCTCCCGTTATAAATGTGGGGACTCCCATAGTTCCTGTGGGGACTCGCTCCCGTTATAAATGTGGGGACTCCCATAGTACCTGTGGGGACTCGCTCCCGTTATAAATGTGAGGACTCCCATAGTACCTGTGGGGACTCGCTCCCGTTATAAATTTTTACATAAAAACAGCACAGGCCTGTAATGCAGAGCAGCCGAAGACTGATAGTGAGCTCAAGTTGAGGCAACATGCCAGACACAGACAGCGACATGCAGGTCTTACTTAGCAATGCACTCAGTCCCATATCTCCCCTCCATCAAAGCCAACCAACAGAGGCGAGATATTTATGCATGTTTATCATTTAATAAGGCTATGACAGATGTCAAAGCTGAGGATGTGCATTCTTAATGGCATTCTGTACTACACAAACACTGAAACAAGCTTTGGAAGGACAAGCACTATGATTCAGACTCATACGGATAAAGAGGAGTGCCAGCCCCTGCTAGGATGAGATGGGGAACAAGGGGGCACGATTTCAGCTGGTCAGTGGGACTTGCTGCAGGGGGCATCACAGCACCCAGGGCAGCCGTGAGGTTGAGGATAAGGGTCAAGCCAGGAATAACAGCCGGCTCACGCCGCGCCTCTACCCAAGGCTGCCAGCGGGGGGCAGTAGCGGCGGTGGGCCGGCTCAAGCCGCGCCTCTACCCAAGGCTGCCAGCGGGGGGCAGTAGCGGGGGTCGGCCGGCTCGCGCCGCGCCTCTACCCAAGGCTGCCAGCGGGGCGGCAGTAGCGGGGGTCGGCCGGCTCGCGCCGCGCCTCTACCCAAGGCTGCCAGCGGGGCGGCAGTAGCGGGGGTCGGCCGGCTCGCGCCGCGCCTTTGATCCACTGTGGGTTTCAAAGCCACATTTCTGTCTTTACAGCTGGTTTCCATAATGACCCATAGACCAGACAAGAAGGTGTTTACGACTGTTTGCAAACATGATGAGTAACACATTACTTAACGCAATGTTTTTAGCTATCTATACACACATTCCTAACAAATAATAGTGCATCCATAAAGCATGGCTATAAAAAATTTATAAAAAACACAACACATTATAGCCATGTTTGTTATGCACAATGAATGCTTTATGAAGCTCTCATCTATAATGCACTATATACACCTTCATAATGCATTATAATAGTCAGTATAAGCATTAAGCTTTGTATTGCATTTTAAAGGGGACATGAGATGAGAGCTTCATAAGACAGTCACAATGCAAAAGAAACATATAATGTGTTATGCATTTTTATAAATAGTTATAGCCATGTTTATAATGCATTATGAATGTGTTTATAAATTACTAAAAACATGGCTTTAAGCAAAGTACTACCACGTGATGCTGACATGCAGTAGGGCAAGGAGCCATCCTTTCACCAGCACTAAAGACACACTCAGGTCTAAATGAAGACACCACACTGTAAATCACTGTGGCGCAGATGATGCCATTTCAATTTTCACGTTTCTCCATGGAGAGTACAAGACCTCCCTGTCTCATGGACTTGTCCTGCTTTGAGCTGCTCTAAACCAAAATGGAGAAACAGCCAATACTCCGGGAAAGATACTCCAGGATAATTTGCTACAGGGAGCACAGGCAGGCCGGGACCAGGCACACTGTACCATGTCTCTTATAGATGGGTGGCTTCCGGTAGATGTTGGAATCCCCTGTTGCTGAGGACAGAAAAAGAAAGCAGAGGTGAGACCAGGAGTGGCCGAGGCAGGGAGGCAGTGTCAGGGGGGCCCGTTTGTCCTACCCATCAGGAGCAGCCAAGACACACACGAATGTGCAGAGAAACACGTGGACGTGTGGAGACACATACAGAAACACACAGATGCGCAGAGACACACACAGACACCCGGAGACACACACGGACGCGTGGAGATACACACGGACGCGCGGAGAGACACACGGACGCCCGGAGACACACACGGACGCGTGGAGATACACACGGACGCGCGGAGAGACACACGGACGCCCGGAGACACACGCGGACGCGCGGAGACACACGCGGACGCCCGGAGACACACACGGATGCATGGAGACACACGCGGACACCCGGAGACACACACGGACGCGTGGAGACACACACGGACGCCCGGAGACACACACGGACGCGTGGAGACACACACGGATGCCCGGAGACACAAGGACACGTATGGGAAGGCAATGGGAGGAACAAAGGCTCTCTGAGGAAATTCAAGCAGGCAGAACCCCTGCTCTGACTGAAAAGGGGCAAAAACGTTGTTCTGGAACATTATGAGAACTGTGGGAAAGTGGAGTCATCCTGTATGCGTTGCCTCAAGGCTCCACGTTAAACTTTTCTGGAAGTACATACATCTTCTGTGGCCAGGACTCAGCAGGTCCCAGCAACTCTCAGGCTATGTGGCATCTGTGAACATTTCGGCGTCACCAACGGAAGCACAGACTGTGATTAGTCTGCAGGCTGCCTCGGTACCCTAACGCTAAATCAGGGGTGGCCAATCTTATCCGCAAAGGAACAGTGTGTATGCAGGTTTAGGTCAGCTGGTCAAACCCAGGTGTGAAGACTCTTCATCCAATCAGTCCTCTAATTAGTAATCTAATTAGGGAGTTGTAGGAAAAGCTTGCATACACAGCGGCCCTTTCTGGATAAGATTGGCCAGCCCTACCCTAAATGATGAAACAGTGCACACTGACAGAGCACCCGGAACCGGTGCAGAGGCACCGCAATGAGACTGGTGAGGAAGCAGCCTGGCTGACGAACAGGCCAATGGTGACAGGGCAGAACCATGAGAACTCTCGACAAGCGATGGCATAAAGGCAGCAGGGGTGATAAAGATGTGCGAGGGTGACTACAGCGATGTGAAATGGGGGAGAAGATGGGTTTATATATCAGGCCTCAATCAGCAGCTCCCAAACGTGGGGAGACCGGACCTGGCCCGGCCCAATAACTCGGCCTGGTCCAATAACCCTTCCCAGAGTGATGAGCAGTAACTCACCACTGCAGACCAGCAAATTCCCAAAAGACCAGCTTTTAGAGAGCAGGTCTCACATCCTGCTGATCAGCCAATCAAGAGCATTCGATTAGCAGTATCAGGCAGCCACTTAACTTCGTAATTCTTACAGTAGGATGTACTGATTTTCCCCTCAATTTGACATGCTTATTTTGAATAAACAATAATACAGTGAACGACTTTTAAGTCTGTGAGTACCAGGCCACTGTTATTTATGTCCTGATATGTAAAACCCCAGAAATAAAAGAGGGGGGAGGCTGTGTTCTTCACACCTCTGGAGAAACGAGGGATGGAAAAAAGGCAGATCAGCTGGGGGTGTTTGGGTGGTGATGGGAAAAGAACAGAGGCCTACCTGGGACATGGAAATGCTTGGGGGCTTGATAGGTGGTAGGTGTGCTGGACCGGGTGTCCAGCTGACCCTGATAGGGAGAGCTCCGGCCACTCTCACTGCCTGCAGCCAGCGCCCCCCCAGGCCAATGACAGCGACAGAACAAAAGTGTGAGTGAAGGCTTAGCTCCTCCCCCAGGCAACCCCCCCCCCCACCCACAAAACCAAGCGATCAGCTTGATCTTGATTGTTAAGCAGCCAGCAGTGAGGGAAAACATGCTTGTATTAAGTCAGGAAAGTGCCAAACCTGTGCAGAGCAGCAGCCGTGACCCAGCAACACGTCACACGCGGCCGTGACCCAGCAACACGTCACACGCGGCCGTGACCCGGCAACACGTCATACGCGGCCGTGACCCGGCAACATGTCACAAGCGGGCGTGACCCAGCGGCACGTCACACGTAATCCCCTGTTTCTCTTTATTGTACCTCTTTCATAATCAGTTTATCCTTTTAGCATGAGACTGGGACTGGGCACTGTAAATGGGTGGTTCTTACATTAATGCCAATTATCACTGTACAGAGTGACCCCCCACCTTTGGATACATCCCCGCCAACGGCGTTCATCTTTACACTCAGCGAGTCCGAGTCGGATATCGGGTCACTGTGGTATGAGCACAGAAGTGTGCTGAGTGTGTCGGGTACAGGGAGACAGCAGGGCCACAAAGGGCGGGACAGCCTAGGGCAGGTGGCCTACGACAGCCATCCACTCTGGAGGTCAGGCAATACAGCCTGGTCTGGACGGCCGGGGGCACGGGTGGGGTGCGTGGACGGGGACCGGGGGGACTGGGAGCGGTGTGCGTGGACGGGGACCGGGGAGACAGGGAGCGGGGTGCGTGGACGGGGACTGGGTTGACAGGGAGCGGGGTGCGTGGACGGGAACCGGGGGGACTGGGAGCGGAGTGTGTGGACGGGGACCGGGGGGACAGGGAGCGGGGTGCGTGGACGGGGACCGGGGGGACTGGGACTATTTACTTCGGCTACATTCTGCATGGTCATCTTACCCAAAATGGGTTAATTGGGGTGAGGACCCCCTGGTGGCATGCCAGGGGCCTTGCTGGTCCCCCTTAGGGTGGGGGGGGGACTCACCGAGATGGCAGTAGAGCTGGGCGGAACGCGGCATGCTGGGAGATGTGCCTTGCCGGCTGCAGGTGGGGGACTCGATGTAGGCCGGGCTGGAGCAGCGCCTTTGTCTGAGGTCTACGCTGTCGTAGATGTCCTGCCGGGGGGGG